TGAGTGTGTATTTAATAATGTTCGATGCTTCATATTTTATTTGTTTAGCCAGTTCAGTATTGAGCACAAAAATATGAACATATTTTTCAGAACGACTAAAGTCTAGTTTTTGTGCAAGGATTGCAATTAATACTGCTGATATAAATATACCAATCAAACAGCATAGTCCAGCTATGGCTAAAATGAATATCTTTTGTTAGCGCTTCAGAGGATATGTATCGTCCACGTTTTTACCTCGTCCCCAGTTGGTTGACGGTATTAGATCTCCATAGCCTAACAAAAAAAAACATATAGAGGATACGATAAAATTATAGACCCTTTTCGATGAATATAAAAAAATGGGTATTTTTTTTTATTTTAAGAAGGAATTATATTGATGTATTGATGGTGTGTCTGCTAGGGAGCCTGTGTGGTATCTATTGTTGCGGTCCTTTCCCTTTCTCTCATTTTATTTAAGGAAAAATTCGAAAGAAGTGAAAAATCACCGTGGCACAATCATACAACCTCTTTACCAAGAAGTTTCTCTCTGTCTTTCTAAGTGGCTGAAATCCTAGTTCAACTTTTCACTGTTATCTAATCACGCCATACTGTAGCAGTTTCATATTTACTTTGTCCCAACCCCCAAAGACCTCATTTTTGGTAGCTTTTTTTATTCCAACCATGTATAGATACATCAAAATCAAATCTTGCTGAAATTTTTTATTGACGGCACCTTTCTAACTTCTAAACTAGAGCACTTACCGAGAGACGTTAACGATAACATAAAGAGATACATTGCATCTAAAAATGCCAGTTGACCATCTTTTGTGGAATTATAGTCGACTGCTCTTAAACACCAACTAGCAATAAGAAATATTGTGAATAAGATTACGGCTAATGACAAGACTGGATGTTGTGTTAAATAGGCTTTAAGAATAAATTTAAAATTAAATTTCACACGATTTAAAAAGCCAATACTTTGTGATGATGAATCCGTGACGATAGTACTGTGATAAATGAGGCAACGACAAACTAAATAGACTCTTGTAAACATAAATATTGATAGGATAACATTAACTGGCACATGCGTTGACGTACTACTGTTTGCTGATGATGATATATAACTGTCTGGTAGCCACGGTAGAGGCTGAATAAGACAGATGAATGCTTCACCGATGATCGCTAGTACTTTTGATGGTGTCAATGAAACTTTCCAGTCATCAATTGAGTTATTAACAGCATATAAGCGAATATCGACTGAATGATAATAGAATACGAGTACAATTAATAGAAAAGTAGTGACTGTGATAATCAATTTAATAATAAATCTCAATTGATATTCGCCTGTATTATGAAACGCTAATTCATTCTCAATTATCATCAGACATACACCAAGAAGACCGACCAGACACATGATGTCACTGACAAGACGACGGCGTTTAGTCAGTTGTTTACGTTTTGTTAACCTTTCGCTTATACTAGACGATATTCGTATTTTGTTTAGAATCTCGACTGCTTTAGAACCATTGTTCGCTTCTGTCGATAAATTGATTGACATCGGTTGTGTGTAACTTGTATTAGATGTAGTATTCAAGCCGATCAATGGTACCTTTAAGTTATCATCAGCCATAATCGAATTGGTAAAAAGGAGATAAAATATTCTGTTTGAATGTAGCTGGTAATATAAACTGATAAATACTAATTAAAAATATGCATAAACTTATACACGTGTAGTAGTTTTGGTTGCTTCTTCGCAAAAGAGACACATATTGTACGCATGATAAAATATAAAGCATCGAACATCATTAAATATACACTCAGATTATGGACATTAAAACATGGACACAAAGGTGTAGATAGTATCGAATATTTCAATATATACAGAAAACCAATCAGATTAATGGATTCGATCAGAGGTCCTTCAGACGAACAACGAAAAGTATTGATTCAAATGTATAAGCGTTAATCATGCATACAATGCGTCTCTTTTACGAACAAGCAATCAAAACTACTACACGTGTATAAGTTTATGCATATTTTTTAATTAGTATTTATCAGTTTATATTACCAGCTACATTCAAACAGAATATTTTATCTCCTTTTTACCAATTCGATTATGGCTGATGATAACTTAAAGGTACCATTGATCGGCTTGAATACTACATCTAATACAAGTTACACACAACCGATGTCAATCAATTTATCGACAGAAGCGAACAATGGTTCTAAAGCAGTCGAGATTCTAAACAAAATACGAATATCGTCTAGTATAAGCGAAAGGTTAACAAAACGTAAACAACTGACTAAACGCCGTCGTCTTGTCAGTGACATCATGTGTCTGGTCGGTCTTCTTGGTGTATGTCTGATGATAATTGAGAATGAATTAGCGTTTCATAATACAGGCGAATATCAATTGAGATTTATTATTAAATTGATTATCACAGTCACTACTTTTCTATTAATTGTACTCGTATTCTATTATCATTCAGTCGATATTCGCTTATATGCTGTTAATAACTCAATTGATGACTGGAAAGTTTCATTGACACCATCAAAAGTACTAGCGATCATCGGTGAAGCATTCATCTGTCTTATTCAGCCTCTACCGTGGCTACCAGACAGTTATATATCATCATCAGCAAACAGTAGTACGTCAACGCATGTGCCAGTTAATGTTATCCTATCAATATTTATGTTTACAAGAGTCTATTTAGTTTGTCGTTGCCTCATTTATCACAGTACTATCGTCACGGATTCATCATCACAAAGTATTGGCTTTTTAAATCGTGTGAAATTTAATTTTAAATTTATTCTTAAAGCCTATTTAACACAACATCCAGTCTTGTCATTAGCCGTAATCTTATTCACAATATTTCTTATTGCTAGTTGGTGTTTAAGAGCAGTCGACTATAATTCCACAAAAGATGGTCAACTGGCATTTTTAGATGCAATGTATCTCTTTATGTTATCGTTAACGTCTCTCGGTAAGTGCTCTAGTTTAGAAGTTAGAAAGGTGCCGTCAATAAAAAATTTCAGCAAGATTTGATTTTGATGTATCTATACATGGTTGGAATAAAAAAAGCTACCAAAAATGAGGTCTTTGGGGGTTGGGACAAAGTAAATATGAAACTGCTACAGTATGGCGTGATTAGATAACAGTGAAAAGTTGAACTAGGATTTCAGCCACTTAGAAAGACAGAGAGAAACTTCTTGGTAAAGAGGTTGTATGATTGTGCCACGGTGATTTTTCACTTCTTTCGAATTTTTCCTTAAATAAAATGAGAGAAAGGGAAAGGACCGCAACAATAGATACCACACAGGCTCCCTAGCAGACACACCATCAATACATCAATATAATTCCTTCTTAAAATAAAAAAAAATACCCATTTTTTTATATTCATCGAAAAGGGTCTATAATTTTATCGTATCCTCTATATGTTTTTTTTTGTTAGGCTATGGAGATCTAATACCGTCAACCAACTGGGGACGAGGTAAAAACGTGGACGATACATATCCTCTGAAGCGCTAACAAAAGATATTCATTTTAGCCATAGCTGGACTATGCTGTTTGATTGGTATATTTATATCAGCAGTATTAATTGCAATCCTTGCACAAAAACTAGACTTTAGTCGTTCTGAAAAATATGTTCATATTTTTGTGCTCAATACTGAACTGGCTAAACAAATAAAATATGAAGCATCGAACATTATTAAATACACACTCA